TCGTTCTCCCCCCGTCCATTCATTGCCGATCTGATTCACTCATTCAGACACACAATTACCTTACACAATTCCATTACATTGTGGTGGCACCTAAATGCCCCAGCCATGCCAGGGACCTCACTGTGCCAGTGCTGCACTGATAAAGGGAGAGGAAGCTCCTGCCCCCGATGCCTGGAGTCCTGACAGCCCTGGGAGGGGAGTCAAAGCAGCCCCCCCTTGTCTCAGATCCACCCTCCTCAAAGCCCCAGGATCAAGCCCATGATCCCGGGCACTCCAGGGCTGCCCCTGGAAGTTGGGGTTACCGCGTCCCCACTCCCGCAGACCAGCTGCGGGTCAGCGATGGGGCAGGAACGCAGGTGTCCCCCCGACAGACCCAGGCAGCGGTAGCAGAAGCAACACCTGCATTCAGGGCAGACCACCCTGGGGCAGCCTTGCGTGGTGTGGTTCAGGAGGGCGTGGCAACGGGGACAGGCCCGCAGCGAGGGGCAGCTGTGGACGGACGAACTTGGGGCGTGGATCTTGGGGGCGTCATGCAGCGCGGCCTGTAGGGGGCATCGCGAGTCAGCATGGGATGAGGGGTCCCTCCATTCCGTGCGGCAGCCCCAGCAGAAGCAGTACAGGGCCCCAGCCCGCTGGGAGCAAGGCAGGCAAGGGGTGCACAGGGTCCCGGGATCCAGGCGCTGGACGAGGTGCTGGCAGCGTGGGCACTGCAGGGCAGAATGAGGATGTGTTAGCTACTGAGACCCCACCCCACATCCCAGCCTGAGCCAGGCCCGGGAGAGAGGGGATCAGGTCCCCCTTACCTTCCCCAGGACTTACCTGGCGGTAACTGCCCCTAGCCCCGTCCTGCGCCAGGATTTGGGCCTCCAGCGTGGCCCGGTCCTCGTCTGAGAAGAGCCCGAGTTTGCACAGCTCCTGCCAGAGCCAAGGGGTGTCCGGGCAGCGTGGGCAGCGGAATGAGGTGACGCCCTGGACGGGAATGAGGGGACCCAGATCAGCCACTAGCTCTCCCCTGCAGCCCCCGGCCACCCACCTACCCCACCCCCATCCC